GTTTCACAGAGGTCCCTCCTACAGACCAGGGCTTCCTTATTCAGGCTGAGGTGCTCGGGGTTGCTTTCTAAGGGCTGCAAATGTGAGAGAATGTGGGAGTGGAGCCTCTAGAGGCTGGTGTTTCAGTCTGTGTTCCCTAGGCTTCGTGGGCAATTCACCAGGTAAATAATTTTCACTTCAATTTGTCTGCAAAAGTCTTTTTTGTCGTAAAAATTATGTATTTGGCAATTCAATAGTATATAATTGGTTTAATTGGTCACATTGTTTAAGTTAATCATGTTGTACATTCATTACTAAATGGGGGTCATAACTTCTTCTTGGTCGGCAAACACAAGGGCATTGCTATCCTTGTTTCTGCAGAGGTGGTGCTCTTTGTCATCTTATATTAGACTCTGTTTGTATGAGGGCGTATGGGTATCTGTGTTGAGGGTGTATAGGTGTCTGTGTGTTGAGGGCATATGGGTGTCTGTGTTGAGGGTGTACAGGTGTCTGTGTTGAGGGTGTATAGGTAGGTGTCTGTGGGTTGAGGGCATATGGGTGTCTGTGTTGAGGGCGTATGGGTGTCTGTTAGTGTGTATGGGTGTCTGTTAAAGATGTACAGGTGTCTGTATTAAGGGTGTATGGGTGTCTGTTGAGGACATACGGGTGTCTGTGTTGAGGGGGTATGCATGTCTGTGTTGAGGGCGTACGGGTGCCCATGTTGAGGGTGTACGGGTACCCGTGTTGAGGGTGTATGGGTGTTTGAGTGTTGAGGGCGTACAGGTGTCTGTGTTGAGGGATCATAGGTAGTACTTCCTGTCATCTTATAACATTATACTGTTTGTGGTTGTTTAGGTGTCTGTGCATTTAGGAGACAGTAATAATTGGTGTCTAATTGTATCAGATCTTGAAATTTGAGAATTGTGGGGAGACGGGCTTCTCACGTTTCCTTCCTCTCACCTGAGCTCATTTCAACTTTTATTACCTTCACTTGTCTCTGTGATAGAGGATACAGAAGTTGAATTTTTGAAAATAGGTTTCTGATCTGTAAAGATTCATAATTCTCCAAAACAACATTCTTCTTTCAGCAGGTGGACTTGTCACCTGCCAACTTAGAGTTCTTCAAGAAATTGTGACCAGTTCAGGACCTGAGGTTGCCAGCCTGTGTGGGCCCTTGGTCCTCCTGTGGCTGTGATAGGTGAAAGGAGACATTACCCTTCTACAGCGTTTCCTGGTTGTCAGTACCTATTCCTGCCTCACTCTGTGCTTTGTGTTTTCTTGAGTGTTCTGATGGGTCTTATGAAAGGTGAATTTGTGGTAAATTGAATTCACAAGGAAGTGATGAGAACATTTCTCTAATCTCTACTGTGTTTCTAACTGTTCTAGACCATAAAGCGAAAGGAATAAGACTGCAGTTGTGGTCACAGTCAGACTGGAGAGATGATTTCAGTGTGTTGAACGTCTGAGAGATAGGATGCAACAAGAGGAAGTGAATGTAGTTAGTGAAGGGACAGGCTGGTGGCTGTCCCCTAGTCGACCTCAGTAGAACACAGAGCCTTTTGTGAAATTCCTATTTGTTCTCAGTTCTACAGCACTGTCAGCCTCACCCTTCATTCTTGTACACATTGGAGTACATGCTATCTTGCTGATCTGGAACGTGTGGGATGTTTTAGGACTCGGTGGTTGTGGAGGACGTGGCCGTGGTCTTTAGCCAGGAAGAGTGGGCTTTGCTGGATGTTGCTCAGAGGAAACTCTACAGAGATGTGATGATGGAAACCTCCAGAAACTTGGCCTCAGTGGGTAAGAATTTTCTTTTTAAATATATATATATATTCCTTTTGTGAACAAAAATTTTTCACTTATCAACTTTGCTCCAATATTTGGTCTGAGAAATGGAAATAGATCGTTAAGTGAAATGAGCACAGTCTATTGGTCACATAACCTGGCTTCCCCATGAACGTAACACTCTATGTAGTAAAGTGAGTTTTCATGCCTCCTGTGATGAAAAACTCTGAGGCTTTTTAAGTGTTGTTAGTCAAAGCATTGGCTTCAGGGGTCATCTTGGGGCACTGAGAGATTTGTGGTGTGGGACCTTGTAGAGAGGTTTATAGTGTTTACTACAAGTTTGACATGATTGATTATTTTGCTGCAGATAAACTCTCACCTGTCCATCTTCAGAGACCCCGAAGAGCAAAATCATGGCTCAGTGCCAGGTTCGTTGTTCAGCACTGTCTTCCCTCAGGATATGCATTTCTCCATGAGCCACGTGCCAGCGATACTGATTTATTTTCCAGAGAGGCCTGGGTGGTGGAGACGGTGAATTGTATTTCAATCATTGAGCTAGAAGAATTCTCTTTGGGGTTGAGGACACAACTTCAAGGACACCAGAGTTGACTTTTCTGTGGAAAAGTCATGGAGCACCATTTTGTCCTTTAATGTATTTTGTCCAGTATCTTTCTGCTTAGCTCTCCTAATTACACTTGTGTATGGACTGTCATTCTCAATCCTTATGGATGCATTTCCTAGTAACTTGTGTTTCAGTCATTACCAAAGTGCTGACATAGCAAAATGTGGTTAATTCTTCCTTTGGTCACAGCAGTTTTTTTTTCCCTAATAACTTCTTTCCTTTTTTTTCCCCCCCATATTATGAACCTCAAATTGAATTATTGGACCAGTCTCTCAAAACATTAATGATGGAGAAAAGTTATCCAGTGAACATATAAGGGTACCATTCATGAAGAATAATGCCTGGTCCTCTGTGTTAGGAGAAATCTCAGAATCACATCACAGTAAGGATCAGCATGAAAACCAGAAGAGACATTTGAGGTGAGTGTAATTCATACAAGAGAAGAGGGCCTCAGGAGAGACATGATTATATATACCAGAACCCCAAACCCACTGCCACTGAGTCCGTTCCGACTCATAACGACCCCTCCTTGGGTTTCCAAGATGGTAAATGTTTACCGAAGTAGATTGCCCAGTCTTCCTGCCATGGAGTGGCTGGTGGATTTGAAATGCCAACCTTGTGGTTAACAGTCAAATGCCTTAGGCATTATACCACCAGAGCTCCTTATGATTATATATACACACACATATACACACATACACACATATACATAATATACACATATAAGAACATATAAGGATACATACATACACATATATATATGTATATACACATACAAGTAGAGGGTCAGCAAAAAAGAAGATCTTCCATGTGATGGTGTGACACAGTGGCTTCAACAATAGGCTGAAACATAGCAATGATTGTTAGGATGGTGCAGGTCCCCACGCTGTTTCATTTTGTTGTACATGGAGTTGCTATCAGTAGAAACCAACTCTACCACACCTAACAACAACAACATATATAAAGTTACATGTAAAATTCTGTGTTCAGAATTCCCAGGTATATAGTAGAGTTGACAAGGGACAAGGTTGTAGTCACTTCTTGGCTGCAGCCAAGAGGGAGCAAGTAGTTGGACCTGAGAGCTTGGGACTGTGGTTGCAGGGGACATCAAGATCAGTTGGCATAACATACTACACAAAAACATTGTTCCATATCCTACTTTGGCAAGTAGCGACTGGGATCTCAAAAGCTTGCAAGAGGCCATCAAGATGGAACAATGGGTCTCGCCTCATCCAGAGCAAAGAAGAATGAAGAAAACCAAAGAGCATGGAAACAATTAGTCCAAGTGACTGGTACACCATGCAATCCTCAGCATATACGACTATGAGACCAGAAGAACTAGATGGTGCCTGGATACCACTGTCAACCACTTGGAGGGGGATCTATGTATGAGATCCTGGATAGAGTGGGAGAACAATGTAGAACAAAACTCAAAATCATTTAAAAAAAAGGACCAGGTTTGCTGGTCTGATAGAGCCTGGTGAAACCCCTGAGTCTATGGCCTCTAGCTGCCCTTCAGGTCTGGAATTGAACCCATTCCTGTGGCTTCTAGCCAAACAAAAGACAGGCATCTGAGCTGAACATTTACATTAGGTAGATACAGTCCTTGGAGAGATCAATCATGGGAGAATAGAAGGGCTATGTATGCAGAGGGAGAGACAGCTCAGGGGGCAGGAGTGCATGGAGGGAAGGACACAGGGAAGAGGTAACTATGGGGAGGAAGTGGGAGGGGAGCTGTTGCATTGTGGTAAATTGTAGTCAGTGTCTTGAGACAAAGTGTGTGTGAGCTGCTGTATGGAAAGTGAATTTGCTCTGTAAAAAGTCAGTCAAATATCAAATATTTGAAACATATCTCAGTAGAACGCAATTACTAGCATGCAACATATTTTACAAAAACAGTCATGGTGGTTTTTCTGCTATGGTTAAACCTGTAAAACATGAAACAAGTCAGGGCAGAAACCATCTTTATTCACTGTGTTTGATAATGGTGAAATGGGAAAAATTCATTTCCAACAACAGCATGTTGTCTGTTCTGAACAGAAGTCATGCAGTAGAGAACCTCTGTGGGAGTGATGAAGACAATCAGTGTGGGAAAACCTTCAGCCAGGTTCCACGTCTTACTGTGCTGAAAAGAAATCCTGCAGAAGTGAATGCTTTTGAATGCTGTGAGTGTGGAAAAGCCTTCACGGATCCCTCATCACATAGACATCACAGCCGATGTCACAGTGGATGCAGTACCTGTCAGTGTGAGGAATGTGGGGAAGCCTGTAGTTGTCCCGCTCACCTGACCTCTCCTAGGAGAAGTCTTAATGGAACGAAACTCCATAAATGTAAGGCATGTGGGAAGGACTTCACTTGTATCTCAACACTTAAGAATCCTGTGACAACACTCACTGGTGAGAAACACTATGAATGTAATGAGTGTGGGAAACATTTCTGTAGTGTCTCATCCTTTTGGACACATATGAGAAACTGTCAATGTAAAGAATACTGTAAAACTTATAGTTGTCCTTCATCTCTCATTTTGCATAAGAAATTGCATAGTAAAGATACGCCTTATAGATGTAAGGAATGTGGGAAAGCCTTTACTGAGGCCTCATCCCTCACTAAACATATGAGAACTCACACTGGAGAGAGGCCGTATGAGTGTAAGGAATGTGGGAAAACCTTTAGTCTTTCCTCATCTCTCACTAAGCATAAAAGGACTCACAGTGAAGTGAGGGCTTATGAATGTAAGCAATGTGAGAAAGCCTTTAGACAGGCCTCACACCTCACTAGACATATAAGATCTCACACTGGAGAGAGGCCTTATGAATGTAAGGAATGTGGGAAAGCCTTTTGTGATTCCTCAGCCCTTACTTTACACGTGAGAAGAATTCACAGTGGAGAGAGGCCTTATGAATGTAAGGAATGCGAGAAAGCCTTTAGCGATTCCTCAGCCCTCATTAGACATGTAAGAACTCACAGTGGAGAGAGGCCTTACGAATGTAAGGAATGTGGGAAAACCTTTAGGCAGCTCTCAGCCCTCACTGAACATATAAGAACTCATAGTGGGGAGAGGCCTTATGAATGTAAGCAGTGTGGGAAAGCCTTTAGTTGTTCCTCAGTCCTCACTACACATATAAGAACTCACACCGGAGAGAGGCCCTATGAATGTAAGCAGTGTGGGAAAGCCTGCCGAGATTATTCATCTCTCGCTAAGCATGGAAGAACTCACAGTGGAGAAAGGCCTTATGAATGTAAGGAATGTGGGAAAGGCTTTATTGATTCCTCAGCCCTCACTATACATATAAGAACTCACAGTGGAGAGAGGCCTTATGAATGTAAGGAATGTGGGAAAGGCTTTAAACAGCTCTCTGCCCTCACTGCACATGTAAGAACTCACAGTGGAGAGAGGCCCTATGAATGTAAGGAATGTGGGAAAGCCTTTAGGCAGCTCTCGGCCCTCACTACACACATAAGAACTCACAGTGGAGTGAGGTCTTAGGAATCTTAGCAATGTGGGGAAATCTTTTGCTGTTTCTAACACCTCACTACATCTAGAAGAATTCACAGTTGAGAGCTGCCTTATAAATGGAAGGGATATAGGATGCCCTTTCTCACCCAAGGAGGGGTTGCTGTGAGTTGGGTTCGACTTGATGGTAGTGAGTTTGGTTTTATTTTTTTTCTCCTCACACTTCACTTGACATATAAGAATTCACAGTGGAGTGGATGCCCTCTGTCAAAAATGGGATGTTTCCACCTTCCATAATTTCAAACAGCAAATTTCTGAAAGTCTATGATTACCATACAAAGGTTCTCAGTAAGACAGCAATACTAACTGGAAGAAGTCTGCATTAAATCTATTTTGTGCCTTTGGAAGAAATAACAGTTTCATTATAACAGTGGGACTGTCTTCATCAGTATTTCTTAACTTTCTCAGTCTAAGAGAAATTTTACTTTTGTTAAAGCCGTTGGCTATGGCAAATAAAGCTGTAAGGAATAACTTTGAGCAGTTATTTTTATTCTTTGATGTTTTATTGATGTTATTTTGCATGCAATAAAATACACTAATTTTGTATTTGGTTTAAGAATGTTTTGTTTACATATTGATCGCTTTTCTTTCCATTCTTCCCTATTGTAATGTTACCTGTTTTGCTTAGTGAGTTTCTCAGAGGATGATACTTTTGAGACTGCAAATATTCTGTTTTTCATTGTACTTTGACCTATTTATTTTAGTATTGATAATTATTACTTATGACTATTATTGTGAGCTCTGGTAGCATAGTGCCTAAGGCACTTGATGCTAACCAGAAGGCTGGCGGTTCAAACCCACCAGCCACTCCTCGGAAGGAAGATGGGGCAATCTACTTCCATGGTGATACTGCCTTGGAAACCCAAGGAGGCATCGTATGAGTCAGGTCTGACTCCACGGCACATAACAACAACATGACTGTTATTACTATGGTGTTGACCAGGTGGCATTTTCTATTCCAATAATTTCTTCTATGTGTATTAATTAGAATTCTGTAAGAAATACTTCTCCCTTCTCTCTTTTTTATTTATGAAGTTGTTTATAACAGTGTAGTCTAGTCCATATTAATTTTTTTTTCCTTGCTCCAATTGCCCCAGATGTTATTAGTTGTTGTTAGGTGCCGTCTAGCTGTTTCCGACTCATAGAGACCCTATGCGCAGCAGAAAGAAACACCACCCAATCCCACACCAGCTCCATGATCCTTGCTATACTTGAGCCCATCATTGCAGCCACCATGTCAGTCTATCTCATTGAAGGCCTTCCCCTCTTTCATCGACCCTCCACCTTACCAAGCATGACATGTTTCTCCAGGGAATGGTCTCTTCTGACAACATGACCAAAGTAGGTGAGACAATGTCTGGCCATTCTTGCTTCCAAGGTGTATTAGTAGGACCTTTCTTAAGTGTTGATGTTGTTGTTAGGTGCCATTGAGTTGGATCTGACTCATAGCAACCCCATGTACAACAGGACATAACACTGCTCAGTCCTGCACCATTCTCATAAACCTTGCTATGCCTGAGTCCATCGTTGCACCCACGGTGTCAATCGAGCTCATTGAGGGTTTTCTCACTTTTCACTGACCCTCCACTTTACCAAGCATGATATTCTCCAGGGAATTGTCCTTTCTGACAAAATGACCAAAGTAAGTGAGACAAAGTCTGGCCATTCTTGCTTCCAAGGAGCATTCTGGCTGTACTTTTTCCGGGACAGATGTGTTAGTTCTTTTGACAGTCTGTGGTACTTTCAGCATTCTTCACTAGCACCACAACTCAAAAGCATCAGTTCTTCTTCAGTCTTCCTTATTCATTGTCCAGCTTTCACATGCGTATGAGGCAATTCAAAATACCATGTCTTGGGTTAGGCGCACCTCAGTCTTTAAAGAGATGTCTTTGTTCTTCAGCACTTTAAAGAGATTTTTTGCAGCCAATTTTCCCAGTGCAATAGGACGTCTGATTTCTTTACTGCTGCTTCCATGGGTGTTGATTGTGGGACCAAGTAATATGAAATCTTTGACAATGTCAATCTCTTCTCCATTTATCATGCATGATGCTACTTATTGGTCCAGTTGTGAGGATTTTTGTTTTCTTTATGTTGAGGTGTAATCCATGCTGCAGACTGTACTCTTTAATCCTCATCAGTAAGCACTTCAAGTCATCTTCACTTTCAGTAAGTAATGTTGTGCCATGTAGATATTTCAGGTTATTAATGAGTCTTCCTCCAATCCTGATGCCATGTTCTTCTTCATGGAGTCCAGCTTCTTAGATTATTTGTTCAACATACGGTTTGAATAAGTATGGTGAATATATACCCTCATTTTAAACCATGCAGTATCTCCTTGTTCTGTTTGAACAACAGCCCCCTGGTCTACATACAGGTTCCTCATGAGCACAATTAAGCGTTCTGGAATTCCTATTCTCCTCAATATTATCTGTATTTGGTTTGATCCAAACAATTGAATGCTTTTGCTCAGTCAATAAAACACAAGTAAACATATTTCTGGTATTCTCTGCTTTGACCCAAGATCCATCTGACATCAGCAATGATATCCTTCATTCCACGTCCTCTTGTGAATCCAGCTTGCATTTCTCGAAGTTCCCTGCCAATACATTGCTGCAACTGTTTTTGTATTATCTTCAGCAAAATTTTACTTGCATGTGATGGTAATGATATTGCTCAGTAATTTCCACATTCTGTTAATCATCTTTCTCTGGAATGGGTGCAAATATATATCTTTTCCAGTCAGTTGGCCAAGTAGCTTCCTTCCAAATTTCTTGGTATAGACAAATAAGTGCCTCCAGTATGGCATCCATTTGCTGAAACATCTCAATGGGTATACTGTCAATTCCTGGAGACTAGTATTTTGCTAATTCCTTCAGTACAGCTTTGACTTCTTCATTACCATTGGTTCTAAATCATATGCATCCTCCTGAAATTGTTGAACATCAACCAATTCAGTTTTGTACAGTGACTCTGTATTCCTTCCATCTTCTTTTGATGGTTTCTGCATCATTCAATATTTTGCCAGTAGAATCCTTCAGCATTGCAATTTGAGACTTTTATTTTTCCTTTAGTTCTTTTAGCTTGAGAAATGCTGAGCATGTTCTTCCCTTTTGGTTTTCTAACTCGAGCTCTGGTGGCACAGTGCCTAAGGCATTTGACTGCTTACCAGAAGGTTGGGGGTTCAAACCTATCAGCCATTCTGTGGATGGAAGACTGGGCAATCTACTTACATAAAGATTTACCACCTTGGAAACCCAGAGAGGGTCACTATGAGTTGGAGTCAACTCAATAGTAGTGAGTTGTGGTTTTTTTTTTTTTTTTTTTTTAACTCCAGGTCTTTACACATTTAATTATGATAATTAACTTTGACTTCTGGAGCTGCTCTTTGAAATCTTCTGTACAGTTCCCTTAAGTAGGTTCCTTATTTTTAATGTGTCCCCTTTATGTTGTGTACATTACTGTGGTGGTTATGTTTTTGTGTCAACTTGGCTGGGCCTGGTTGAGTGGCTGGGCAGCAGGTTGTAGTATTCACCATGATGAGATTGGTAATCAACTCCATGGTGGAATCTACTGGGAGCAGCTGAGTAGCTGCCTTAGGGAATGTGGTCTGCTTCCTGTATTTAAGCAGAAACCTTCGGAATGGTCTCTAGCCTATGGCATGCTTGGACCCTGCATGTAGCCATGTTGTTGCTCAGCAGCCTGCTATGCTCTGCTGACTTTGGGACTTACAATGGACTTAACTTAATGACCTGCCATGTGGTTTGGTAACATTGGGACTGTGCCTTTTTACTTGTCAACCGTGGGGCTTCTCAGCCTCAGCAGCTAGCAGCTATCTGAGTGAAGAAACACCTCTAGCTCCAGTGGGCCAGGAGCAGGAGGTGGAGCTAGGCCCCAAGTTTGAGGGACTTTCACCCAGCCCCTAGGGCCTGGCACTTTGAACTTGGACTTAAAGCCTCCAAATTGTAAGAATAAACTCCTGTTTGTTAAGGCCATCCCATTTGTGGTATATTTATTGTCAGAGCAGCACTAGGGAACCAGAACAATTACTTACTGCCAGTGTTCTAGGTTCATCGTGTCTTTTTCTTAGAAAGCTTGCAATCAGATGTTTCTCCAAGAAACACTGGTTCCTTTTATTAGAGAAAAAAAATTAGAAACAAAGACCTGGGCATTGTTTTGCTTCTTGCTACTAAGCCATTAAAGTGGAAGGTACTAGGAAATAAATGTGTATGAGGATACAAATAAAAGACATATTATACCTATTTCTATATGTATCTGTATTTTAAAAAGTAATAATAAAACAAGATTGTATCTGTACTCTGGTTCCAGTTCAACACCACAGGGTTCATGTTAGCCATTTCCCTTACTTCATATGTAATAATTCCTCTAATAGTAATATTCTTGCCTGTCACAGGAGCCCTGGTGGCACTGTGCTTAAAGTGTTGGGCTGCTAACCAAAAGTCTGACTGTTCAATCCCACCAGCTGCTCTGTGGGAGAAAGATGAGTCAATCTGCTTTCGTAAAAATTTACAGCCTTGGAAACCCTAGGGGGCTCTCCTCTGTCCTACTGGGTGCTATGTGTTGGAGTTGACGCAATGGCAGTGGGTTTTTTACCTTAAAACTGATGTCACAACTGTTCTATTGTATGATTGTATACATTTTAGTGACGGTTGGAAATTCAGTTGATCTAAACTGATGTCTGTACATAGTAGTGACTCAATTTTTAATGAGTGAGTGAAGGAATAAATGAATACATTTTTAAATATTTTTAAAAAATAGAATTTCTGTTTCATTTTATCTTACTTTTTTACTTTTTGTGATTTGAGTGAAAGTTGACAGAGCAAATTTATTTTCCACTCAACAATTTATAGACATTTTGATTTGTGACATTTACTGAAATCCCCACAGTGTAATGACTGTCTTCCCACTTCTTTCTTGTGTTTACTTTTTCTGTGTGTCCTTCTTTTCTATGCATT